ATTCATCACAATTCACATCAAATAACTTCACTAAAATCATTCAAACAAACAACAATATAGAAAGTTCGAAACTGTCGCCAACTTCTTTGATTCTCCCACTACTAAATACTAATGTAGTAAATTTAATGTTATAGATTATTAATGTTTATAATGTAATATAGTAATACTGTTATTAATTAAGTAATTATTTAATTATAATGTAATGTTATAATTAATTAAGTAATCATATTATATATTTATAATATAATGTTATAATTAATTAAATTTCTAATTATTTAATTAAATATTGTATTAATATTTATAATGTAATGTTATAATTAATTAAGTAATCATATTATAAATTTATAATGTAATGTTATAATTAATTAAATTTTTTAACCATTTAATTAAGTAATGTACTAATGACTAATGTAGTAAATTAATAATGTTTATAATATAATGTTATAAATTTATAATTAATTAAGTAATCATTTAACTGTGTAATGTTATACATAATTAAGTGATCATAATATAATGTATTATTATAATTGATTAAGTAATTATTTAACAATAATGTCATGTTATAATAAATTAAATTTCTAATCATTTAATTAATTACTAATGTTTAATGTTTATAATATAATGTCATAATTAATTAAGTAATCATTTAATTATGTAATATTATAATTAATTAAGTAATCATACTACAATATAAATTATAATATTATAATTAATTAAGTAATATACTATTTAACTATAATGTAATATTATAATTAATTAAATTTGTAATCATTTAATTAAGTATTGTACTAATGTTTATAATAGAATGTTATAATTAATTAAGTAATCATATTATAAATTTATAATATAATGTTATAATTAATTAAAATTCTAATCATTTAATTAAGTATTGTGTAAATTACTAATGTTTATAATATAATGTCATAATCAATTAAGTAATCATTTAATTATGTAATGTTATAATTAATTATGTGATCATACTATAATGTAATGTTATAATGAATTAAGTAATCATACTATAAATCTATAATTTAATATTGTAATTAATTAAATTTCTAATTATTTAATTGATATACTAATGTTTATAATCGATTAAGTAATCATACTATAAATCTATAATGTAATGTTATAATTAATTAAATTTTTAATCATTTAATTAAGTAATGTAATAATATAGTAAATTACTAATGTTTATAATGTAATGTTATAAATTTATAACTAATCAAGTAATCATTTAACTATGCAATGCTATAATTAATTAATTGATCATAATATAATGTAATGTAATAATTTAATAGTTTAATTAAATAATTATTTAACTATAATGTAATGTTTAATTAATTAAATTTCTAATAATTTAATTAAGTAATCTGTTTATAATGTGATATTATAATTAATGTTTATAATATAATGTCATAATCATCTAATTATGTAATGTTATAATTAATTATGTAATTATACTATAATGAAATGTTATAATGAATTAAGTAATCATACTATAAATCTTTAATATAATATTATAATTAATTTGTTTATAATATAATATTATAATTAATTAAGTAATCATTTAATTATAATGTAATGTTACAATTAATTAAGCAATCGTACTATAAGTTTATAATGTAATGTTATAATTAATTAAATTTCTAATCATTTAATTAAGTATTGTGTTAATGTTTATATAGTAAATTAGTAATTACTAATGTTTATAATATAATATCATAATCAATTAAGTAATCATTTAATTATATAATGTTATAATTGATTATGTGATCATATTATAATGTAATGTTATAATGAATTAAGTAATTATACTATAAATCTTTAATATAATATTATAATTAATTAAATTTTTAATCATTTAATTAAGGGTTGTACTAATGTTTATAATGAAATGTTATAATTAATTAAGTAATTATACTATAAATCTATAATTTAATGCTATAATTAATTAAATTTTTAATTATTTAATTAAGTAATATACTAGATGTTATAAGTCAATTAATTAAGTAGTAATCAATTAATGTAATGCTATAATTAATTATACTATAAATCAATTAATGTAATGCTATAATTAATTATACTATAAATCAATTAAGTAATGTTATAAAATTATAATTAATTAAGTAATCATTTAATTATAATGTAATGTTATAATTGATTAAGTATGATATTTAACTAGTAATTAAATTTATCATCTTTATCAATTTATCATATGTGATTAATTAATTGTTAATTTACTATAGATATACTTAAAACTTAATAATTGAATAAAATAACTAAATATATTATTATTCAATCAAATATATTATTTTATTAAAAAATAATTCTTTTAATAACATTAAAACATTTTTAATTGGATCCTAATTCCAATTATACACTTAATTAATCAAAACTTTAATATATTATATTATAATATATTAAAGTTTTTAATATGATGTAGTTTATATGTAATAAGTATAATTGTATATTTATTTAATAAAGTTATTCTAAAAATTTAACTTTTTCTATTTTCAATTTTTTTATATGTAAAATAATAGAAACCCCCCATTATTCACAAATATTTCATTGCAACCCAAGTTCCAAAAATCGATTCCAAACAAGTTCTAAATCAGGTTCCCGCTATAGGTTCCAAGCAGGTTCCAAATCGGATACCTGTTTTAGGTTCTTTTTCCAGGTTTCGGTTTCGGTTTCGGTTCCTCCACACATAAGAACCGGAACCGGAACTGCACAGTGTCAATTCCAATAAAATAGAATCGGAACCTACCCGCACAGTGCTGGTTCCGGTTCCGATTCTACCCGTAGGTTCCGGTTTTACCCGCTACCCATGCTTACCCCTAGAGCTACTCTTTTGAAGAGGCAAAGGGTCTATGAGCAATAAGGCAAACTTGGTCTTTAAACGTAAGAGTCTTTGTAAAGCCATCATAGTCATCCTTTGTAGAAAACATGAATTACACACAAATAATTAACAACTCGCTTAAGTAGAGGTATTGATACACCAGTTGGTTTGAGCATTTCCTCAGTCACATCTTTCCAATCGTTTGCTTCCTCATTCACATCTTTCCATGCATTCGCAACATGTTCCTGAATCACTTTAACTGCCTCTTCTTCCATGCATTCGCAACATGTTCTTGAATCACTTTAACTACCTCTTCTTTAGAAACACCATGCTGCTTCATATAGCATTCAACAGCTGAGGTAAAGGCAATACCTCTCTAGATAGATCTAACTATACGAATTCATATTTGGGAAGTGATTTTTAGCCTCACCTAATTGATCTTCACCGAATTCATATTTGGCATTTGAGAAACTGCCCCTGTGTTACTTACCTAGCACACATGTTTTACAAAAGTTCAAAGGTGTTATATTGTCTCTACCAAACAGTCCCTGTTGACCTAGGATGTTTAGGCCTTTTTGACTCATTTGTCCTAACCTCAAATGCCACTTTTGTGTCACACTTAATTATGATGAAATCAATGCACTATTGTTCTTATCGCAATAACAGTTTCCACACAAAATATACAAACCATTTCTTTTTAGACCTCTTAGCACTATGTTGTTATTCCTGTATACATTGATGAAACCATTTTCTACCCTATAACAACAACCAGCTTCATCTAAAGTTCCTAGGGATATTAGGTTTCTTTTTAGTTCAAGAATGAACCTAACATTAGACAACATTATCAGTTTACCATTTTCTAGTTTTAAGGTTATTTTACCTATTCCTCTAACCTTACAAGCATTGTTCCCCATAAAAACAATCTCATGTTCGTCATCTCTAAACTCTTGAAACCACTCCCTATTTGGGCTCATATGAAAGGAACAACCTGAATCTAGGACCCACTTTTGGATCTGGTTTGACTTAGACACTGTGAGGACATCTGAGACAACAATGCTATCATTAGTGGAAGCTAAATTACTCTCAGTGTTTCCCTGTTTTTGCTTTTTATCCACTCAAAACAAATTTTCTTTAAATGTCTAGTCTTATTGCAGTGAAAATGCTTTCTGGTCTCCCCTCTTGTTTTACCAGAACCCTTCCTCATTTTCTTATTCTTTGGGCCATTACTATGATGCATACCATTTACAGATTGACCTAAGTCTGATCTACCCTTCATAAAAATTATTTCCATTTCTCTTTTGGACCCTTAATTCTAACTTCCTAGCCTTTAATCTAGCAATTATCAAGTCAAGACTAGGCACAATACCAGTATATTGAAGTGCATTTTTGACAACTTGCTACTCATCAGTTAAGGAATTAAGCAGGATCATAGCTAAGCTAGTGTCCCCTAATTCTTGGTCTGTTCCTTTTAGAATAAAAGTCATCTTAAAAAATTCGTCCAGATTATCTTCTAAAGACTTAGAGTTATCCATTTTGTAAGAAAACAATGCACCCTTTAAGAAAACTAGGTTTGGAGTAGACTGTGATGAATAAAGTGTTTCGAGTTTACCCCACAAGGTGAGAGGTGTATCCATGCCATCTACCTTCCTCAGCATGTTGTCAGACAGGTTCATCATGATAAGGTTGTGCGCTTCCTCATCAACTTCAGTCTTTTTCTTCAATTTTTCCTCTAGTCACTTGGTAACATCCTTTTCCAAAGCAATTGCAACTTTGTTATGGGACAACAATGCTTTCATCTTCTTTTTCCAACTATTGAAGTCGATTTTCCCATTATATTGGGAAATCTCCATTCGTGTGGTACTCATGGTGTAGCGTTTGGGAATTGATGTGGTATTTGAATGAAATACGGACACTAGATTATCTAGGAAGAGACAGATTAAAGAATCCCCAAAAATAGATTTCTACGAAACCCTAGATTTTCAATAGAACCACTAAATTGAAGAAATCTTGACTCAAATTCAAGATCTAATAATCCTTAAGTACTAAGGAACACAGAGATCAAGAAACCCCTAATTTTCTACGAACCCTAGATTCCAAGAAAATCAATTTGATCGACACGAAACCTTAGAAATTAAGGCTCTGATACCACTATTATGATTCTTTAATCAGAAACCTGCTTTAAACCTAATCAATCAAACACAAAGATCAAGCCAAGCAACCACAAAGAAATCAGACACACAATATACCGTGGTTCACCTATTCAAGAATGAACAGGCTATGTCCACATTGAGCTCCACAACTGATGGGGCTCTTTGCACTAATTGATTCCACAAATCCAGTTACAAACACAATCAAGATTCACTCACTCCTCACTTTGTTCAAACTCCCTCAGTAAATCTAAGCAAAACTGCAATCTTGACCCTAGGAGAAACTCTATCTTGGTATCCCTAGCCCGAGAGTAAACAGACCCTCAATGAGTCATTTACAAAGAAATCCTCACTTGATTACTGCATATTTTACAGAGAAATATAACAAAGAACCTTAGCTCTAACAGTGTCAAAAGTCATATAGAGGAGAAAGAAAGAAAGTGTTTTTTGAGATCTATTGACCAAACCCAATTTTGGACTGCTTTTATATGGCTGGATGTGTGACTTAATAACAAGCGTTGGATCAGCTTTAGACTCAACGGCTTAGATCTTGGATGGTTGAACAATGCGGCACCGTTTGGATAAGTGCAATAGCTGAAGCAAAAGACGTCACCGTTTCTTGCTTCACCATCAACACCTACAAAAATGCTTCCGAAATTTCTTAAACGCGTAAGGGTCAAACTCTCCAAATTCGGAAGCATACTTCTCAGGACATTCTCCCAACTTATCAGCCTTATGATGGAACTACAACTTGATATGGTAAGCGACTTTAAACCTGGCAGGCCACACAAACTTTTCCTTGCAAATAATTCAGATAGCGTACTTTTGCCACCACAATTTTCCAGGACCAGGGGACTTGAATTCCACAGCAATCCATCAAGGCCTCTTCCCATGACGTCGACTCCTCTTAGAACGACTCTTTTCTCATCATGTTGAGTGGGTAGATAGTTTGAATCGCTGCTCCTTGGACCAATGCATATGTTAAACTTTCTCAGTCTTCTCAGCCACTGAGCATCAAAGGCAAAATTATCGAATGAGTCTAGCTGTAAGTGGAGCACTGATAGCTGCTCCCACGAAAATATCTCTTTCAATCCTGCTCTCCCTTCTGCATTACTGTTAGGAGCCCCCTTCTATGCACTGAAAGACATGTCCAATGCCTCAAGACTAGATAATCCTGATATAGCCCCATCTGGGATGATTTCCACGAGAGCCTGACAAGTTCAATTCTCTCAGACTACTCAGGTTCCCCATTTCTCTTGGTAGTTCTCTCAGTTGAGTACCGAAGAGATCTAGCTCTTGGAGTTTACAAAGAGCTCCAAGTGAGGGCAGATTTTCCAGAGAATAACAGTTTTTCAAAAGAAGAGCCCGAAGCTCCACTAGGTGAATCAGAGGTGGCAATGAAGTTATGAAAGTGCTGCTTAGATTCAGAACTCTCAGTGCTTTAGCTTCGGAAAAAGAAATTATCAGGAATTCGTGTAATGGGATTTCCTTGGAGGAGCAACACAGTCAGTTCAGAGCAGCCCATTAATTGAGTAGGCAATTTTGTGATCTTGCTATGCATAAATGAAATCCTTGTGAAAGATTTCTCAAACTTTTGTGGCATTTCATGCAACGAAACACTGGATTGACAGAAAAATCTATTCTCCTTGGATATCCATACAGCTACATCCCTCACCATAGTATGCATCCTCACAGTTCCACTGCATTCACCCTGTTCTAACAAGCAAGAATCCTTCAATTTTTCAATAAATGCAATGCCATTATTAAAAGATTCCTCCCGAGTTTGGTTTTCATCAATCAATCCATCAGCAATCCAGCATTTTATCAGTTCAGATGTCTCGATGGAAAAGTTTTCTGGGTATAAAGAACAATGTAAAAAGGACCATTGAAGAACCTTACTTGGCAAGGTGCTGTAACTCCACTTTAATTGCTGATAGACATCCTTCTCAATGCTCCCAAAATGAGCTGCTGAACGCTGCAACTCGCTGAGTGCATTCATCCAGAGCTCTTTCATTGTTTTGTTCCTCATGGACTTCCCCACAGTTATGATGGCTAATGGCAAACCACAGCATTTCCTAGCAATTGCTCTTGCCAAGGGATTTATGTCCTCTATCTGGACCACATTTCCTGCACTTTCTGCAAACAAATTCCAAGCTGCTTCTTCATTCAAAACATTCATCTTCACTTCTTTATTCGTCAACATATGCCTACACACGTCAAGAGAACGAGTTGTCAGTAGGATCTTACAGTTACAATTAACTTGGTCATGTGGAATTCCCACAATGTCTAAATCAATTTTCTCCCAAACATCATCTAGAATGAGGAGAAACTTCTTTTTCATCCTTAATCTTTCAAACAATCTTCCAGCCCTTTGCTCTACGGTCTCTTCCGCATCCAATTCTAACCTCAATCTCTCAGCAATCTGAGATTGAATCTTTCTCAAATCCAGGTCCCTGGGGACTGTGACCCAAGATAACAATATTGAAGGATTCCTTCAGAACTGATGAGGCCTCCAGCTTGTTGTTCAAGTTACTCACCACTGTACTCTGAACAGCTGGTATAGGAGATTTCTTATCAGTTGCCACATGCTGAAAATTGCATGTGTCTATCAGTTGCTTCACCTTATCTCTCTTCTTCGCCACATTTCTACCCACTTGATGGCGCAAATGTATATTGCAGCCCAGGCCGCAACCTTGGACTGCAATTCTGTCACTCTCCTCCAGGATTTGTTGCCCATCGCGTTGAATCTCCTGAACCTTTCTGAGCCACTCCTTAGCTTGTGCTGTAGGACACTTCCCTTCTGATTCAGCTATTCTAATATCTTCTTCAATCTCATCCTTTCGGGCAATGAGTTCTTGTAATTCAGTCTGGAGAGCTTTGATTTTACCATGGAGATTTCTCAGAGGAGCAATCTTTGACCAGAAGAAGATGGTAAAACCTTTACCGGCTTCAATAATGATTGCCCCTATAGTTTCCATGGTAGGAGAAGTTGAAGAGATGCATTTGAAGTGTTTATATAGTCTCCAAATAGTGACAAAACATGAACAGATGGAATGAGGATCCCGAGAAGTAACAAGACAATGATTGAACCCATTTTGTCCCCATTAACACTACAGTCCAAACTAGGAAACCGCTATGGATATTCTTATTTTTGCTTCAGCATATGGTCTCTAACTTAGTGTTTGCCTACAGAGTCATGTATGTACAAAGGATTTGTAACGAAATCATAAACCATGGAGCCTGGAACTCCAAGAAGAAGACAAGGAATGACACTTTAAACAAAGAGATTGCACATTGTTTTAGTCAACATAAATTGCAGGTGCACCTACCAAGATAATTACCTGATTGAATGTCATCATTTGAGCTTCATCTCACACAAAACCCATTAAAAATAAGCTGTCAACATAACTGTTTTACTGATTAAAGAAGGTAAAATTATTCCAAGNTGTTTCACATACTCGCTTTCAACCAAGTGAACAGGGTTTTATTGGTTTTCATCTTAAATTAGCAACAATCATGGCTCCAATTTTCAAGTAATGGGCCAAAGGGCTGCAGAATCCTCAATTTTGAGTTTCTAGTTCTGGTCATGGAAACTTTTTCCCTTTTTCAGAAATTTGTTACTTACTAAATGGAAAAATTAACGTGGTTGAAGCATTGTAAGGGAAGAGTATAAAGATAAGGGGTTTCATACAAAAGAGGCAAGATATTTTCATCTCCCTTGGATCTGTCCTGTACAATAGAGTGGGAATTTATAGATGTTTTCACAATCAATAGATGGGAAACTATGCAAACCATATAATGAAGAAATGATCATTTACCTAAAAGAAGTTAGCTTTTAACAAATGATCATGTACCTAAAAGAAGTTAGCTTTTGACAATTTGAGTAGTTAAATGAAAAACAGAACGAAAAGATTTAAGCGACATAACAACAAACGCTAATGATTTTATTGGCATATTATGATTCTAATATTTATGGTTGCATAAATTTAAGTGTAGAGTACCTTTTCATTATCAATATCTTTTGCCAACATGCGAAGGATTACGGGAGCACTGTTTCGAACCTTTTCACCATGAAGATGAACAAGAAGTGCAGAGTCTTGTAAGGCTGCCCATTTCCGATTCAGGTCTCCATCTTGATAGAGATTCACCTGCTGTACCTGGTTGAAAAGACATTCCACCTCATCAAGCTTGGGTTCTGCATCTATAACTGTGTTCCTACTCTTCCATTCTTCAGCTGATGAGCGCAGTGATTTTAGATTTTCACTGAGGAGAAGAGGTTTGCTCTCATTTTCAGACCGTTCTATCTCAATTCTTCTTAATGTCTGCCTTGAAGAACTCTCTGCAGGGTCAAACATGACACCCCCTGCGATTGGCCAATATAATAATTGGCGAAAAGCAGATAGATGATTATCCAAAGACTCTTCCCAAAGAAGAAAAGCCGAATCTATCATTTCCTTCTTACTTAGCTGCACATTTTCAGGCTCAAATTCTTTATGCTCCTTTCCCAACGAGGTCCTACAAATCTCTGGTGTGAGGATTGGTGAAGTGGTACAAGAATGATCAACCTTTCTCTTCTGTACTCCTGACTCGGTTTTCATAACTTCTACCTTAGCTGTCTTAAATTCTGGTTCCAGCATATTTTCACCGAGTCTTCAAGCCTCTACGATGACTTATGGCTCTTGGAGTTTAAGTGTTCGGAAATGACTCACTTTGGTATATGAAAGAGGATTGTTAAGACTAAAGGACTAAACAGATATCAGAGCAAAGGTTACATTAAGTCAGACGAATAAAGTTTCATGTAAGTCTGTGCCTTATTTACTGTGACCATTCCAAGAAAGCTCCCTCACAGGTTAGTTTTCCAGGAAATTTCTTTTTTTACTTCGTGTATTGCAAGGCAAGTTTATGGTATTATAAGGAGAAGTAGCAGCTAGGGATTTTCCATGAACTCTACCTAGGAATAAAAGGACAACGGGGACAGTTACCCAGTTTTTACGCAGGCAAGATTTTCAAAGGAATTAGTGGTGTTATTGTTAGTGCTAGTACATGCCGCGTATTCACCTCTTTGCTTCTGACACAAGTTGACAAAAGAGGCTAATAAAGCTTAAGCGAAACTTCTCCTGGGCTTTATGGGTTGACTGGTAATTACCTGGAAATGGTAGAGGTGTATTCTTCTCCTTTAAGTGATTTTCCGCAATGACTTACTAAAACCCAGCGACTTACTAAAATAATTGGGATAGACTACTCTGATTCGGTACCTGTATCTTCCAAACATCTCCCAGAAATTCTCTTTCATTTCACAGAAATTTGGACGACCACCCAATTTAAAGAAATTTCAATGATTTATAAAATTGTTATTGGGGATTTAAGCATGGGGCCTCACAAGTAAATCAAATAATTAGATAGAGGCCATTAATCTCTAATCATTAATTTTGCAAGTATGAGTTTGCTGCATTTTTTAATTTTAATTCGTTTGATGTAATTGTGTTTTGGTTTGATATAAAAATCATAGATAAGTAAAAATTTAAAAAATAAATAAATATAATTAAATATATGACATGACTCGACAAGAAAAAGTATGTCTAGTGATTTGAAAGTGTGGTATTGTTTTCTTAGTATTTTCCTCTGATTTTCATTTTGCCTTTTTACATTGGAACATCTGAACATGAACCCAAATTAGAGGTGCAGTGTTTATATAATAAGCTTTCACCTCAAGCCATCCCGGATCATAGGGAACACATTCGAGCACAAAAACAACCCCAACCACCAGCCATCCAGATCATAGTTGAATACATTAGAGTACTAAACCCCACCACCGCCCCCCCCCCCCAAAAAAAATGGCCTAAGTATCATGAAAACAACAATTTTGAAGGGAGGGTTGGAGGAAGAAACAAGGGGTATTAATTATGTTTAACTTGGATTCATTTCAGGAACCTATTGGAAGAGATGATGCTGATAAAGTCAAGTCGTTACTCTTGGAATACGGAGAATCATTGGAGGATGATGGAGGATCAATGTGGCTGCAGAAACTTTTTCTCATTGCCTATGGACGAGGAAGCTTTCATGTTGCTGAAGGGTTGGCAAAACTGCGGCCTCAAATAGCTAGCATTAAAAGTGATGAGGATGGTTACACAGCCATGCATCATGTTTGCTGTGGAGGAAATGTCAAGATGATTAAATTATTGGGGACTCTTAATCCCCAGTCTCTTGAAACTCTGACTTCCAATCAAGAGACGGTTCTTCACCTTGCAGCAAAGAACTCCAAATGTGATGCTTTTGAAGTCCTGCTGGATGAAATTAAAAATTTCAACCTAGAGGATGTCCTGAATAGTAAAGATGAAAACGGTGACACAGTATTGCATATCGCTACAGTAAATAAATCAGTCAAGGTAAACGATATCAGTATATCCTCACCATGAAACTCAAGTGTTTTAAATTACCTAATGCTTGCAAGTTCTAAAGAGTTAAATAATACTTTGCAGACTGTGAAGCTGTTGGTCCGTGAGTGTTCCAATGGCAATGCATCTCTACTCAGTTGCAGGAACAACAAGGGACAAACAGCATTAGATGTGTGTCCATCTGATTCTAAAGATAAGAATCACAAAAAAATCTTCAAGATCCTTAAGGATGCTGCTGCTGCACATGATCAAGAATTATGTTCCCCGACAGATCAGTATGCCTCTAAGTTGACTTCGGAGGCAAGAAATGTTCTATTGATGGTTCTAGGATTGATAGCTGCAGCAGCCTTTACAGTAACATGCAATTTGCCTGAAGCTTTTCTCAAAGATCTTGCAGGCGAAACTTTGGAGGCTAAGGATGTGATATTTGGTAGATTGCCAACGGTTTTCTACCTCATGGTTTTCAACTCAGCTGGATTCATGACTACCATGTTTATCATTGTGATACTGATATGGCCACTGCTATTTAGAAGCATTCTGCTTTTTGTGGTGATCTGCACATGCATTGTATATGTCATGTTAGTGGACAAGATCACTCCTAAATTATCTGTAAGAATTGGGATCTCCAGCATTTCCGGTATTGCTTTGCTATGGTCATTAGCGATAGTCTTTACTCTCTCTGGAGTTGCAATACTGTGTTTGGCAAAATACAGTTTGCTGTGTTTTTGCCGGCTGGTCAATTGTTTGTGGACGAGAAGAAGCAGCTACAGGAGCAATAATTCCGGAAGATTTGGAAGCATGGTAGAGCTCGGATCAATTAACTGTTTAAACTGAATTTTTTGTTTTTCTTTTTTGAATTCATAGGTATGTGTACATAAAATAAAGGATTAAGTTGTAGAGTAATACTAGACTTATATATAAATCTTACAAAGATTTTTATATAAAGTAATGTGGTAGTAAATGAATAGGAGAGTGAATATGATGAGTTTGATTTTTTGTATTCACTTTTGTATTTATTTTCTGTTACATTATTTTGTATATAAATTTTTATAAAATTTCTTTGTACGTTTAACATTATAATAAGTTACGATAGCATTTTTTGATACAAATTTGTAAAAAAAAAAAAATTGACTTAAAAAAGTCTTTTTTTATTAGAAAAAGAGTAATATTAAACCAACGATTTTTTTTCCCGTACAATTCTCTAAGTTTTTCGAAACATGTGTTAAGTTTTGGACCTCTCATTACAGGACACCTCCATACTATTCTTTTCTTTAACAGCGACACTAAAGCACTAACGTTGTAGTGGCATTTTAGTAATCCCACCGCATGTTCATAGACCAGCAACTTTAGAAACAAGTAAATTTGTTAACATTAAAAACAAATATATATATTAAATAGATTTTTTTTTAAATCTTATAACTAATACATAATAAAGGTATAACAGGCATTAAGGGTAATACAATAATTTAGCTGTTCTCTTTAATATAAGGGCAAAAGGGAAAACAATCATATTTTGCGGTGCCAATACAACTATGGAAGTCCCCCCAGGATTTTCCAAAAAATCTGTAACTTATTAGTTATTATCAGATAATTAAACCCAAAAGAAAACTAAATGAAGCTTAGATTATAATAAGGCCTATCATATACAAATTTAATAATTAAGCCAAAAACAAATCAAATAAAATTTAGATTATAAATAAATAAAATGTATTTTATACAAACTTAATAAATTAAGGTTTTGATATATCACAAATTATTTGTTAGCTTATGATTAATATTAGAAAAAAAAATTATTATCAATAAATATTAAAATTTTAATATTTATTTGTAGAAAATGTTTTTAAGGTACATGATTTTTTAATCTCACCAGTCACCTCCCTCGGTTCAGATCTTGGCTCTACCACTGTTTGTGCATATTGTTGGAACAATATGATGATGATGTCATTGATGAAAACTCCAAAAACCTGGCACGCATCTATCAGTTTCGGAAAACTCAGGGGTAATAATGAAATGTACTCGAGATCCAATTCCAACCCGGTCTTTAAGTTAAAAAAGTTTGAAATAAGCTTCTGCTTCCTCTGGTCTCAACCACTCACGCACTTTCTTCCTCTTTTCTTTGATCTTTCTACTGCTACAAAAGTACAATTAGAAATTGCGTTGTAAATGTAAAGAAATATCATATGAGCGCAAAGATTCAACTGTATTGTTTGTACAAGTAAACTTACGTCCAAAGGAAGAAAGGACATGAACATTTACCTTTTCTCGGAATATTGCCTTTGTCGTAAGTGAAGCATTGAGAAGGTAATATTGTGAATTTTGTATCTCCATCTTTGATTTGATTTTTTCCTGAGGTGACTTATTAATTTCTCATAGTTTTTCTCTGAATCTAGTTTTCACATCAAAAATCATTGTGTTATTGAGATTGTGATTGTGATTATGATTTTAATCTCCGAATGGATATAGAATTGAAGTTTAATTAATTTATAATCTATGATGAATTCAATGCTCATATTTGTTCTTCCTGCACCTTGCTAGGTAGAGAATGTTGAAGTAATATTGAACACCAGTAAAATATCCAGTAAATCAGTTTTGACTACTAATTATCAAGCATGAAGGCATATGAGAACTTCATACTTTTACATATATTTGATAATTTCTACATGCCTGTAGGCATTGGAACACTTTTATTTCTACAGCAAAAGAGGAGCTTCGCTGGGTGTTATTCCAACTGCCAACAATATCAATAGGGCCTAGGATGAGCACGAGCGAGGCTTGAGAGGGTCCAATATTGTGCACAGGTAAGCTCCAACCATTGAAAATACTGAAACTTGTAACAATGGCCTGAGTGGAAGCTCATTGAAGAGTCTCATCAGCAATGCTACCGATAAGAAAAAGGCGATGGAATTAAACATAATGATCAACCAGTTTGAATAGAAATAATATTGATTTTCAGTCTGGCTGACAGCATCATTTATGCTAGAATTGTATTCATAGCTTTCTTCCACTCTGTATCCTTGGATCTTTAAGGCTGTGTGGAGCGTTATAGATGCCAACAATGAGGAGATGAGCAATAACTGATGGTAAACATTGCTTTTGGACTCTTTTTTATTTTTCATGTGGCAACTGTTCTGGTGCAACCAAGAAAATGCTTTCTTAAATAAATCTTTAGCTCTCAAAGGTCTCTTCCTCTGTGGACTCTTGTTAGTTTCCGAATCTTTCTTCACGCAAACGGGTAAGACAAGAGAGGTTTCCAAATCTGTGAAGCCACCGGCATCCATGGCGTTCTCGGGTCTGGAGTTGTTGGGAGTATGAGGTAGCAAACTTGTCTGCATAACATCCTAGTGTAACAAAACATAAACAATTTTAGGATATTATCAGTTTTTCTACATTGTTTACAAAAACCAAAAGAGCATCAAGGGAAAACTTACCCCAACAAGCTGTATATTGGAGGGGTTGATGTCTCTGCAAATATCTTGCTTCTTTAACATATCTAGAAACACCAGTCCTTGAGGAACTTCAATTGCAATTATATGCCATTTAGCCGAAGAGATTTGTTTGATAGAAGGATATTCTACCATAGCATTAGCTGTCTGAACCTTGTAAGCTTGAATCATATATATTCTTACAGCTGCCCTCTAAAATAGTTGATGAAAACAAATTCAAGCAGGTCAAATGAATGAACCCTTTTCACAGCAAGCACAAAACATGGAATACACTAAAATAAAGTAAAAAATAAAAAGTTGATAAAATGATTCCAATTTTCAATGAAGGTGTATTGTGTTGTGCATTGTTCATATGCCTTTTTTTTTTTTTTTTTCCAGGAAATTTTCTTTTGGCACCCCAATTACAGGAAGGCGCAGCTATAGATAGAGAAATAATCAAGAAGAAAACAGGTAGAATAATGTAGCCAGGAAATTTCCATGAGCTTTATCATAAAGAAACTAAGCTTCTCAGATACTTCCTCAAAAGTTTTCATAAGCAAGCAAGACTAAATGTGATTGCTAGATATTGTTAGGAAAAGATACACAAGAAATGATGTAACACTTCATTCAACGATGTGCAAAGAGGAAATAATATCACACAAGCAATTTCCTTTTATCTTCGTTCAACTTTACCTCAATTACTTTGAAATTGCAATCAATGAAGGCCAAAGTGAAGATACTCATTGATTTCGTGGATTTTTTCTCATATGCTCATGTTGAGGAAAGCAATAAATTGAATTGCCTTTTATTAAAAAAAATATATATTTTTTTTCTTACCTTTCTTTTTTTAATATAAAGAAATTCCAATAATGCATAAAATTTAATGAAGAAATTTCAGAAGTCGAGTTGCTGATGAAATTGCCCTGAACAAGTTACTTCACCTTCAAACATGTCTATAAATATTACGGATATGAATTAAAGCCTTTGATTTGAACCGCCCTTCTAATCATATAGGTAAAATGCATTGATTGAACAAAACAGAAGGCTTAGTAGATTATGTGTAACTTGGTTGTGTTGTTTCAAGAAGCTGTGTGAAGAAAGGATAAAATGTTCATCAAGTCCTTTTCTAAGTCTGTCTACACGTTTCTGAAGAGATTGCAAGATTGTGCCCTAAACTTGCCATCATAAATAGATATTTACACTTACACATATGCATGTTGTTTCCGGTGAAACCAATGCCAAGATGTTCTATTTTATATCTTGTTTTAGATAATCTTGATCAAATGATAATTAGAGCCTACTTGAAAGTGTATTTCTAATTTTTCCTTAAATATAGTCGCAAAGCAATATTCAAGTCTGGTATATAACCCATGGACTCAACCTTCTCCCTTAACTCTTCTAACTTGGCATAGATGTCATCTTTTTGTGGATGTTGTTGATCGCCTGCATAGAATTTATGGACTTTACCTTGTACAGAAATCCAACTATATCCTGGTTCCTTCTTTACACCTTTCTCTTTCATTACTTCTCTAAGAGTAAGGCCATCTTCAAAACTCCCACTCTCAATATACGTGTTGGATAATAGAAAATGGGTAGCTGAGTCTGCTCTAACTGAAAGGACCTTCTCTGCAGCAATTTCACCCAACTCAACATTGCCGTGAACTCTGCATGCTCCCAGCAAGGTTTGCTAGACCATTTCATCGGGCTCGATTGGCATCTTTCTTATAAACTCCATTGCATCATCCAAACAACCCACACGACCAAATAGATCAACAATACAAGCATAATGTTCCATCTCTGGCACCAGACCATAATTTTGTTCCGTTCGTTGAAAAAAAATTAATCCTTGCTCTACCAGTCCTCTGTGGCTGCAAGCAAACAGAACACAAAGTAAAGTAACAGAATTAGGCTTCATACCCAGTTGCTCCATCTTTCTAAAGAGTCTAAGGGCATCCTCTGAAAGACCATGTTGAGCATAACTTGACATCATAGCTGTCCATGAGACAGTATCAGGGTTAGAAATCCTTTCAAAGACCTTCTCTGCCTCACGTACACTGCCACAATTTGCATACATGTCCACCAGAGCACTCTCTATGCACTTGTCCGTGTCCAACCCAGCCTTGCACAAAAGACCATGAATTTGCTGTCCATACTCGAGAAAACAAAGGCCAGAACAAGAAACCTGGACACTGGAAAAGGTAAACTGGTTGGGTCTAAAACCTTCTTCCGTCATCTGTGAAAAATAGCCAGTGCTTCCTCCCACACCAAGCATTGAGAGTGAGCAGTCACTGGGGTTGTCCATGAGACCATATCTCTGTCCTCCATCCTGTAAAAAATCTTTTTTACGTATTCAAGAGCTCCACATTTGGCATATGCATCAGCAATTGTATTACAAACACTAATAACCATCATATCATGACCAGACTTCAAAACCATCCCATGAACTTCCTTCCCAAACGGTTAATACTTAAAATCAGCAATGGCATTGAATATACTACAATATTTATAGACATCCGATTTTATATCATTATGACGCATTCTTACATAGAGTTCCAAAGCTTCTTGGCTACAACCATTTTGTGAATAACCGGAAATCATGGCATTCCATGGCATGTTCACCCCAAAATTAATAAAATTCGAGTCAAAAACAGCTCTTGCTTCATGTGGAGATCCACATTTCGAGTACATATCAATGAGAGCTGTCCCCACCTGCACATCAGACTCCATACCCAACTCGAAGGAAACAGACTGAACTTCTTTCCCTTTGTCAGTATCACCTAACTGCCCTACGGCTTTTGAAACACTAATTATTGTATATATATTCGGCCTGATTCCTTCATTCTTCATTTGAAGGAAATGATCAAATGATTCCAAATGCAGTCCATTTAATGTAAAACCCGAAATAATTGCATTCCAAGAAACTTCATTATGTTCTGTCATGATATCGAAAACCTTATACGAGTCCTCAATACTCCCCAACTTTGCATACATGTTAAGAAGAGATGTAGCAACAAAAGTATGAGAATGGAAGCCTCTTATAACAATCTGGGCATGCACCATTCTACCCAATTCAATACATTTTAAACCAACAGATGTCTGCATAATTGCAGAATACGCAAAAGTATCAGGTAAGACTCCAAAATTAAGCATTTGATAAAAATACTTAAACCCATCCAAGAAAAAGCCATTCTCTGTTGAGCCAACAATCATGACAGTCCAAGAGAATATGTTTCTTTGAGACATTTTATCAAATACCCGAAAAGCGGAACTAAAATCCGGGCATTTTGAATAGGCAAGAAAATTTGGTGTTAGATAAATGTTGCATGGAAATTAATGGAGTTGAAATTAAAACAGTACACAAATGGTAAGGGAGAGAAGGAGAAATTATCTTACTTTAAGATTGGAAAGTGAAATTGGCAATTCAAATAAGTTAGAAGTTTGAGAAAAATGAAGACAGATGGAGATACTCATTGTTCGTTGCTCGTTTGAGGACAGTTACCATCGCCCTGTACCATCTGTGTGCTTTTTCTGAATATCTGTGTGTTAAGTATTTTACTACTTTTTATAACATTTAGAATTTTTACATTTATCATTCCAATTTTCTAAATATTTCCTTTCATGGTGTTGAAAATTAATTACTAAATAGAAAATTTTCTTTTAATTATTTAACTTCAAATAGTTGTAAGAAACTAAGAAATTTTTTTGGTTAGGAATAATAAATCAAAATCATGTTATTAATTAAAATGATATTATTAGTTAGATGATTTTAATATGTTTATATAATTCAGCCTATACATTACATAAGTATCTTTTAATAGTTATTAAAGTGTCAAATGGTGGAATGGTAGAACCTGACTCGTTCATATTGTAAATACATCACAACCTAATTTTATTAGACCACAGTATTAGCATTGCTCACAATTGTAGGCAAGAAAAAGAGCACAATTTTTCCCACCCAAAGGTTTGCCTTAATGACACATTTCCATCCAAAAATTTTCAAAATACCACTTTCCCACGTAAAATTTATATTCCGTTAATACCCAAATTGATTTCGACCAATTCTAGCAGCAAAAGATCTCTCCGTCGCCACCATTTGAACCTCTAGTCTCTTCTCTACAAAACCACTCTCACTCTGGCATCTGATTTCTTGCTATTTCCAGCCATTGCAAAGTTTCGTTGGCGAATATTCAATCGGTCACCATCATTTAATCCACTGGCTTCCACTTTACAAAACCCTCTTACCTTGGTTGCTGGTAACTCGCTAAACACCGACTAAGAAAATGAAGTGTATTTTGAGTATTAACGAAATATAAACTTTAGGTTGGAAAATAGTATTTTGAAACGTTTTGGATGGTAACTCGCCGAACACCGACTAAGAAAGTGAATTGAGCCTGAACCACAGTTCCTTATGCCTGGAACCACAAAACTTATAACCCTCAAAAACTTGGAAAGCTAAATACATTGGCTCTGCTATCTCATTTGGATGACATAATTGAAAGTGTAAAAGACAAACTACATCAGAGGTATTGTCGAAGCCTTTCGCTGATCATTGATTCCATTTCCTTTATAATATCTTGAGCTAGAGATTTGACAGGTAACTCTACATCCCCTTGCAATTCACCAAGGAAAGGTATTGTTTCAGTCACATTTTTGCAAACATGGAGTGTGCTTGTGAATATAGAAGATGAAGCAATTGATTTTGACATTTATAACTGTTGATGCTTGATTTTGACACTAACTAAACGCACGTGTGAAATGCTGAGTTGACTCAAAAGACACACGCGAATGGGGCTATGAGAATGGATAAGAAATGGAGAACAATGTTTAAAGTGGTTCGGATGCTTAAACAAGCGACTCCTACGTCCACTGATATTGTATTAATATATTGAGGTCAGGTCGCGTTCAGCGAGCTGATCTACAAGTGATTACAAAGAGAAAATGAGTACGCTATTCTAGAGAGAATTTAGCTAATCCACAAACGGGAGAAGAGCCCTCTATTTATAATGGGATGAATTGAGGTAATGATTACTAAATCAAGGAGTGGGTCATATTGCCGTCCAAATCCTTCCTTGCACCTCGTTATTCACCTGCTCGAGTGATTTGCTCAATTCTTGCAGGGATTGGACACGTGGATCACATCCAACCCTTCACCAGCCTGATGCACACCTATTACACTGGCAGGAGCACGTCTCTTGCGTTAGCGTGTGACGTGGCTACATTTGAATGGCTGTTAGACTTACCTAAGCTCTGACCACTTACGCTGACAAGGCTCTGCGTCAGCCCTACTTTTCCAGGAATAACAGAAGTCCCCTAGTTTTTAAGGTTTGAGAATCGAACCTTGGAAACTACATATTATGCCTTGATTTGATGCGTTTGAACACTGGTTGACTCGACCTAGATGCAAAGAGGTCGAAGAGACATTTTCATGCAGGCGACCTGAAATGGCCTTTAATTTAAGGGTCAACGACCTGTATTTGACCATACCCAGTACCACGACAATGACCTTAATCTTCGTCCGAGGTTCACGACCTGATTACACTTGGTGGAATTTTTTGCTTAAGGCAAAAGATTGTGTTGGTTCACGACTGATACACATCCAAGTCAAAGAGTCACGTCGCCTCGCGGTTGACACAAGACAAGATCGAGAGGTTACGTCGCTTCGCGATGAGACATGAGCCAAAGAGTGTTGTACAAAACAACCTCTTCAGATGTTATTTGTTGCACTTTTGCAGTAGATATATTTAATGAAACATCTTTTGCTCTGATAGACGTGTCTTGTGCACAATAAGGGCCAGCCATGCGCATTAAATGCAAGTCATGCTGAAACGACATTCCTTATCAGATCATTAAATGCTGACGTGGGCGCATTTAATGTGGAGGAGGGAGAACTTGCCGTCGCTTGAGTGTTTCAACGGAAGAGAACGACGATTTGGTTTCTCAAAGCATGGCGATCACTCTTCTTCGCTGATCTGTGACACGTGGTCGCGATCAACGGTGAGATGCGTTTTCCGCCCAAACGTCGTTTGACTTTCAAGAAACCAAAGCGCCATTTCTTTCACCATAAAACCCCAAGTTCACTTCAAGCAATGTCACAATATTCATCTTCTCAGAAAGAGCAAGAGATTTTTGTGAGCCTTGGTTCTTCGCCTATCAGATTGGTGCAAGCTTGATATCCAGAGCAGGAGGAATAATCTTCTCATTTCAAGATGTAAGGTTGATCCTTCTGCCACTTTTACTATTTTTTCTTGTTTTCAATAGTTGCCGTGTGATGACAGTCTGTCGGTAGTTGATCGGAGATGAAATATTCTCTTTGGGATTGAGCCATTGATGGTGGCTCTAAAAGTAGTCTGCTAGGGTTTAAGGGAGGAAGTATTTTCTTTTTCCTCCACATCATCGTACGAAACAGTGTACAAAGACTGAGTGATTCCCTACATGTCGCTTTTCTTTTCAGACTACAGAAGAATGGACTCCCCAACGACCGAGATTGAGGAGAGTCCCCTCAAGAGATCCTATCGATATTTACTGACGATGAGATCCAGAAGGTGATAGACCAATATGCTCTTAGCGTAGAGGTCTTTTGAGATAAGACACCCATAGCTCGGAGTCCGCCATGAGGGATGGCTGCAATCTCCGAGAACATATTCAAGAGTGGGGGGGCTGATCCTCTTCCACCCTTTTGTCAGGTCAATCCTCGATCATTTCAGGATCGTACCATTGTAGCTCATGCCGAACGCGTACATGATAGTCATGGCTATGTACATCGCATGTGCGAGAATGGATTGGGCGAGCTAACCGCTGTAAAGCTCGGTTGCTCGTACATTCTAAAAAAGAGTAAGGACAAAGATTCTTACTATCTTTCCAAGCGACCTACCATTGAAGCAGAAATACACAGTTACTCGAGCAACGTAGGGGCATACGAGACGAAGTTCTTCTTTCGTCATAATGGCATTTGCCATTTTCAGGAGCCAAGTAGGTCCTCATTTCTTTTGAGCTTGCGAACCTTCTTTCGTTCTTTGCTAACGAGCTCTTTGTTTCTTCGCAGTTAACAAAACGACCAGGTTAGAGCTCCTCGGGGATCCAGACAGGATTGCTACCTTCGGCTTTCTGCCTAAAGAGAGTCGCGATGCAAGATTGCTCGTGACAACAGCAAATTTGCAGAAGTACGGTTTCTTCAATTCAGAAGCGACCTAGAGCCCACACCGAGTAAGCTTCTTGACCTTAGCCTTTTTTTTTTTTTTTATTTCGCATGCGGTGAACTTTTTTACTAACGATGTTTGCGTGCAACGACCATGCCTCCCAAGGTGCCCAAATCACCGCGACCATGACAATTTGCCTTCCCCCGAATGGGTGCCACTGAACCAACTGGAGCGGCTCCCAACGGTCCCCTAGTTGGAGGGACATCGGCAGCTGCTCCGGCCTGAACTGCGGGCGTTCCCCAGCCTTCGACTTCTCGCCCGAAGCAGAGTACCATGGCCCAAAGGCCTAATAAGAGGAGGCAAATTCGGATCGAGGAGTCAGAGTCCGAACCGGAGGGTTTGGGCGTTAAACCTGAGAGGTCACAGCCTTACCAAGTGTTCCGCTCACGAGGGCCACCTAGGGACACGACCGAAATCTCTGTTGCTCCCGGGGTTTCGCAAATGAGACAACAAGCGACTGTAGTCCCCGGGAGGAGGTCGGGCAAAGAGCCAGCAGAGGGAACTCTACCTGCTACGGGCACAGACACCCCCGTGGTGGAGTCAATGGGTCAGCTACTGGACCATCTACAGCCGGTAGTCTTTGCTTTGCTGGAATGTGGGCTTGCAGAGGCTTTTGAGCAGTTCGTGGCCTTCGGCACTATAGACCTGATGACCACGTCCTTCCAGCACCTAAGTCACGTAAACGAGCTACCCTCGGCGAGGACTTTTATTTGCTTTTGTAATATAAAGGACTAACTTTATTCTCTTCGTTATGCAAGCCCTGCTCTCCATGCATCTGTCCCTATAGAAGGTCCAGTTGGGGGCTGCTGAGGGACTGGTCGAGATGAGGGAAGAGAATGCGTAGCTCAAGCGGGAACTAGAGGCCGTGCAAACAGATAGTGACTCGTCCATCGTTCAGGCGAATCAGCATTTGTCCGAAAGGGATGCTACACTTCACACAATGGACTTTCAGAAGGCCGAGCTGGAAAAGCACAGCGAGAAGGTGAAGGAGCTCCAGAGGACCGTGGTCAGACTCACCAGGGAGGCTGGCAAGAAAGACCAGGCACT